ACGAAGGGACCGTGTCCACCACTGGTGGCGGACACTTGCTGAGAGCTCGCAAATGCTCCGGTCCGAACGAGCCGTTTTCGAAAAACGCGCCTGGTCGCGAATGGGTTAAAGTGAAAATGGTATATATACATGGGTTGGAAAGCGTAGCTGGCAGTCTGTTGTGACTAATAAAGACAGATAATATGATAACTATCTTACTTCGACAACAACGGTAGCAACGCTGCAAACATCTAAGCCAGTGATTCAGATCAGATTCTCCGGTGAAGGATACTTCGCATACTGTATATTGTGCACACGTGCATAAAACCTAAGGATTTCTGAATGTTTTTGCTTAGTGAGGTTCCTGGTGACGAGTGCGCGTGCTAGTGCATGCTAATTAGAAGCCGCTCGTTATCTTATTGACATAATCGCAACTTCATTGAATAATAAGTCCTTGCTTTGTACATGAGAATCCACTTCACAAGTGATCATCTCACGCGGAAAACAAAAAAAATGTTATTCCTTGCTGCTCCTCATCAAGCTGAGCTGTTGTTTTGTTCGTGTCTTTATTATCCTACTCCCTACCGTGCTTGTTACTCCTTCATGCGTTCAAAGTAGAAAAGCGGCAAAAACTGAGGAAATAAGGCCAAGATGCTGCTTGCGTGCCATAGTGCCCGTTTGTGCAGTTTTGTGCATTCTTGGTGTCTTTGATCTCTTGAATAATTCCTTTTTCAGATTACGGTTCAGAAGAAATGGCGCTTGGTTGGTCACAATGGATATTTCTCACTGCTAATTTCGTATCTCTCCCACTGTACCTTCTGATTATTGTTGCCTGTATTGAGACATATAAAAGCAGCACTGCACAAAGAGCGTTTCTCCTGCTCATAACGTCTCAGGTAGTGAAAACTTTTCTGATTCCAGGTAGTTTCACTTATCACCACACCGCAGATCTTATCATAGCCAACCGATAATCCACTATCCTCGTGACTTGGCAGACTATATTATTTATTTATTTATTGGACATGTCATAGCAACATGTAAAATAAAATAAAAACAAGTTTCGAACATCCAGCAGTAGGTAAAACAACCATAACGTAAAAATTATTCAATACAATCACCAACATGTTTCTTGAAAGTGGAATACTTTAGAGGGAACGCAACAGAGAATTGAAGTAGGAGCACACTCTACTACTGAAAAACTTCGACCTATACCTAGATCTAGCCGTGTTGATAGTCAATCTAAACGGAACTCCCCTTGTGCTAGCTGGCAACACATTGAAGAAGTCCTCAACATTTAATTTAACCAAGTTTCTAAGAATTTTGAAGGTCATGAGTAAGTCGTATCTTTTCTTCCTATATCGTTGAAAAGGGACTGTACAACCACCCCCGTGAATTCTCGCTTTTGTCATCCTGAGGTGAATGGGTCGCAGCTATACTAGCGTGCCCATTTCTCTGCTCAGATGTGCATGGGAATGGAGCCGGAGAGTAGTAGCACTCAGTTGCCTTTCAGCTGCGTTCCCGTGTGCTTTTGAGCGTATAAAGGACCGCCACCAGAGCTGCAGACCTATTCATCTGGCACATGAAAACGACTGTGCTCGGATTTGTTTTTTAAGCATTACCCTTCAATTTCAACATTTCTACTTACCTACCATTACCAACACTTCTACTTACCTACCATTACAGTTTTTCTGAAGTCTCACCAAATCAAAAGGCATTCTGGATGGAATTCGAGACGCGAGATTATGATCCACTCTAAGTTCCGTTTCCTTCTTTGCCATAATAAAAAAAATTTGTTCGAAAATGTTCGGCCCATGAAGGAAGGAGAGCAAACAAATTTTTATTAGAAGACAACCAAATAACTACAAAGACAGTAATCCGTTCACATACCCCTCTGCCTGTCGAAGTTCCACTCAAACCAGGCAGATCTGGGAGAGTACCTGATCTCTCCCAGAATCTGCCTGGCCTCATACACTGGCATGAGTGAGATCCTGGTGCCACAACAGAAAACTTCCTAATCCCCTCCTCGTTGAACCTGACGGTCAGTCAGCTTAATCAATTAATCATTTTAAGCAGTCTGCTTAATACCTCCACGAAACAGTTTGATTGTGGAAGATAATGAGTTCTTAGTCATGGTTGCATGAACAGAGGAACAACGTCTCTGTGATCTAAGTTGTTCATTACTCGATGAGCACCCAATTACCGCTTTCCCGTCCCAACGATCGAATACGTTCCCCGAATTTAAAGACAATGTACTGATCTATAGACCTACAGTTATTACGATTCGCCGGGGCAGTGGATGCATGTGCTAAACAGGGTTCATGAGTTTGTGTGACGACATCCATCTAGTCATTCTTTCCAACTCGTTCCAGCCTCTAAAGACTGTCAACACACGAGTGAGGGGTGGTCTGAAAAGTTGTGTCTTTAGAGTTGTGTACAAAAATTTCTTTGAGTTGTTCACCGTTTTCCTCATCAGAGTTGCGGTAAAAATGTTTCGTATCGATGGCATCATGAACTACTGAAAACATATTCTAGAAAAATTCAAGCGTAATGAGAAAATAATTCCAAAGAAATCGCTGATAATTAATTCTACTTCAGGGCATCATGGATATTTTAGCAATGACAAACTACCTTGTTTTCTCAATACTTCGCCAATCGGGGCTTTTTAACAGCTTCTTCTGGCTTTATAAGGACTCCTATTTGGCGAACTGGTGCTTCAACCAAACCTTCTTGTCAGTTTTGTTGCGATGTTTCGGCGTTCTAGTTATCTCATTTCAACGATATGTCTCACTTTGTGAACATGGTCATCTAATTGAGCAGGTGAAGTGTTTGTAGAAAATTGGGCTTTCTGAATGGAAGTTGACGTGAATTTGTACCTCTAGATCATCAACAGTTCACATCGATGGATTCTTCCTGTTCTCCAATGGGTAGTGCCAACAGTATATTCAATACCACTTCTCCTCTTCAGTAATGCCACTTTTGTGAGCTCACAGAACATGGAGGTGCTATCTGAAAGGCAAAGTATAACGGTTAGTTACCTGAAAAAAGCTTTCTGATTCCATAGAATGTTCTCATTTTGAGATTGCTACGTCAATGACAGCTTTGTTCGTCTTCATCACTTTCTTGCTGTGCAGCTTATGCTATGGAACCATATTGAGATTTCTGATCAAAAACCGGAAGAGTAGCAGCGTGTTTCGTTTAAAAATGCCTTCATCTTGCACCAACATCCGCCTTGTACAACACTAATTATAATCTTCCAGGGCAATGAAGCGAGAGCGTCGACTGTGTGTACAGTTGTTGGGCCTCTTTGTCGGCTTCGCACTCTTTGTCGTTTTTTACAGTTTGCAGTTCACTTTCTCGCTCCAATCCAATGTAAGTGACATGACTACTACAGTTTGTGTGATGATTCTAAATCATTTTACACCTTCTCCATAAAGGAACTCCAAACAAGAGAACATTACCTGAAAATGGTTTCAACATGCCATAAATTTTGAATAGATTCAGGAATGGTGGCTACAAACATGGACACCTGTATGTTAGTCTAATCTCACACACATGCTGCGAGCAGTAATGACGCCCAATCTGTTGAAAACCTGCCCCTGTAGAGCGGGCTCCTAAGTTTTCGCGTCAAAGAATGCGATAATTGTGTTCATGAGGCTTAAATACTCCTGGAGGACAGTTTCCAGCCAGCTCTGGATTTTGAGCCAGGAAGTCCGAACTGCTCTTTGAAGGCAAAAAGGTTCGTAGGCATAATCTGTACTTCTCCCCTGGGCTGGCAATTTTCTATCCTAATCCATTACTACCAAATCTGCCTTTCTCGCTCCAAGTTTCGAAAAAAATAATTCAAAGGAGTTCACGGCTGTCCAATGCTTAGCACTGCGCGGACTCTTGGACACATTCCCCGCATTTATCCAAGTCGGACGCTTGTGTGTTGATTCGGCCGCACCCCTGTGTCCAGGTAACCAGCTGTGAAGACAGCCATACATACCCCTTCTTCTTCTCATAATTCGTACTGAGAAAAGAACAAATGTGCTGAAGGCCCAAGGCCACGGTAAGGACGGCCACCCCCCTACCACCAGAAACTTTGGCTGAATGTGCGATTGTCCGGTCTGATAGTCGAAAGGACGACAGGCTGCTATCAAAATCAGACAACTCGAGGACAAACTGACATCTCACCCCACACTACCTGAACCGGAGAATCTAATGCAGCGCTTCTACTTCGAGCTCCGGCGCTTCAAACAATTAACTCAGCAATCAGCACACTGATGTATGAAAAAAAGACTTAGGGCATGACCAACGCGCCACAAGCCACACCCAATGAACCCTCTTCCCGTCTCCCCCGTGAAATCTCTTTGATTTGTGACACCTGCAATTGATGTCTTTCATCCAACGTTGTTTCCATATGCGCCACCGACTGACTACAGCCGATCTGTAGCATGCATAAAAGACTGTTTAGGGAATCTAATGTGCGTAGAGTCAGTAAGAGGACACCACGCGAGGTGCTCGCAGCCACACTTCAGTACCAATTGCTTCCAAATTCTGTATAGCACCGCCTGGCGAAATCGCCGAACTTGCCCAGAAGTCGGGGGAACTTCTCCTTCAGCTGATGCCGGATGCCAGGAGCGTCGAAGCTCCTTTGGCCGTCTTCTACTCTCCAGTCTACTCATTTTCAGTACCCGTCCACACCTCGCCTCTTCGGCCCAAGGCCTGACAACGACACTGTGCCGAAGAACTACCTTTGCATAGATGACTCCACAATCAGCTGTATCCCCTGATTGGATCGAGAAGCACTTGTCAAATAAGTTTTCAGAATGAATAATCTTTAATGGGGCCTTCAATGAGCACCAGTCTAGGCCGTCATAATCTCTCAAAACTATAGTAATAGCTTTGAAAGTTGTCATTTGGAAAGGTTGCGCCTCCACCCGGTCTGCATCTCCCTTCACTATGGACAGTCTTTTCAAGGTTTCTCAGTGAGAGAGGATCAAATTGGAGGAAAATTACCAAAAATACGGTTCCCGAAATAGTTTGCGTGATCTCGAAGGAAAACTCAGGGAACGATAACCTAACAACAGGGATCACCAACGCGGCGACCTTCCGCTCTTGAAGCAGTGTGATGCGCATATTCACTACACAAGCAGACTTTAGGAAAATCGGCACTATTTACCCTTCACTGCCCCAATCTTCCGAAAACAATCCAGTTTTTTACCGACTTTTTTCTCGTTGGCACAAACGGGCCTTTGAAAAAATTTGGGCCCTCATATCGGGGTAAGTTTGACCTCCTGAACATGGAATATCACAAGCTCCGCTAGGCACCGAAAACTTGCTGGTGCCCGCGCCACGGGCGCCGGCGCCGAAGTACCTTAAATCACCAAATTCGCTGAAAACTTGTTCTCAGGGGTAGGCTCCTGAACACGAATATCATATCTGCTCGGCCTGAAACCTCCTGGCTCTCGCGCTACAGGCGCTGGCGCCAAAATATCCCAAATCACCGGCGCCTGTGGGCGCCAGGAAGTTTCGGACTGAACGAATGTCATATTCGTATTCAGGAGGTCAAAATACCCCAGGAGACAACATTTGAGCCAAATCTGTCCACGGAGAAAAAAGTCGGTCAGAAAATGGCTCAATTCTGGATGGTTGGGGCAGTAAAGGGTGAATAGTGCCGGAAAACCTTATTTTCCTGCTTTTCGTGGACCCTAAATTGGAGAGAAGTTCCTCCGTAACTTGCTTCACAGAATCGATATGAATGCAGATTTCAAATGCAAGTCCGCGATCAGATATTCTGGGTAATGGTTCTTATATATGAACACCAAGATGTCACAAAAGTCAGTTCTGCAGAGGAAAGACAGAGAAAAATCGCAGCCAGTGCCCCAATCAGAAGCGTCTGACGTGTGCATTTGAACGAGCAGAGTGCTAGCAAATACGAACGGAAGCAGATCGCATGAGATCACCGGACATGGTGTTCTGGTCGATATGGCCGCCACAGATAGCTCCAGCTGGTCTCTTACTGACAGCACTGTTCCTGCCTAGGTTTTTTTGGCGAATCTTCTGTTATAATGGCTGAGAGAAAGATTCCATGATCGACTCTCCATTAATCTCGGCATGATGACAGCAATATTCACAGAACTTTATTCAGCAATCCGAGATTGTTATAAGTCCTTTACCAGACTGACGTTTCGGCAGTATTGCCTTCTTCGGAGCCTGCAAATCAAAACCTATTTTCGAAACAATTCGCCCTAGTCCCATTTCAGATAGCATAGTGAAGCTCAAGGTAAAGCAGTCTATGAAAAACATCGTGAAGAGGGCTAACCTTTTGAGGAGATGGCGTTCGTAGTCGGCACCCTGAGCTTGAGGATCTGGTAGTGAGACTTTTATATGTATTTGGAACGCGTAATTAGGGTCAACCTGCTTTTGGGAAGATTTTGAATTTGAATGGTCAAAGCGCCGTAAGGGACCCCCACACATAATTGATGGCGTAGGTCAATACTGTTGTAAGGCCACCCAAAGGTGAGAGTCCCCGCTGATCGCTGCGCCTCGCCCTCAGTATCGATTTTCAAGGTCCGAGCCTCAACCCCCGACCCCCGCGCCGCCGCGGGGGATTGACCGCGTAGATCAAAACCCGCAGAGCTCTACGAAAGGTGCCAGCTCTCTCGTTATCGCTACGCACTCTTCTTTCCTGTTGATCTTAGGCTCTCTTGCTGCAATCCACAGTGCTTCGAGCGTTCTACGCGCTGAGATTTCTTGTTCGCGAGCCAATACCGTAACCTCCACTTCCATATCCACATCTCCATGGTACTTAGCCTTATGTTCACCGAGAGGGGTGGACAGCTTTGATTTTTTCAGACCACCTAGGTGTTCCTTAATCCTAACGCATAGTGGTCTGCCTGTCTCCCCCACATATTCCTCCCCGCATACTTTACACGTAATGAGGTAAACCACACCCGAGATCATGCAATCACCTTCCTTTCCGAAAGGACAAATTGCACAAGAAGGTGTTTGGCAAAGTCGGTCATAAAGTCGATTGCGGACCAGCTGTTTCTTCAAGTTTGGGGGAGGAATATCGACCACCCTCACATCGTCCTGGAGATTTGCTTTGCGGAGGCAAGTGCGGATAGCGGAGCTCATTTGATCTGAAATGAAAGGAACACAGAATGGTATCTTCTCCTGTTCTCTGTATCGCCCGTCATCTAGCCTAGCTCGCCGTCCTTTTCGTGCCAGCTGCCCATGATTGTGATCGTAGCCATTCTGTGCGCAATACGGTGAGCCAAGATTATTGACTCAGTCCTATATGCGCCGTCGGATGAAACTGATGAAGCAGTTCGGAACATGTTCTTGAGAATGGCCTTTTTGGTGTTAAGGGGATGGGCAGAACTGTAGTGGACGATGATATTCTTGTTGCTAGGCTTTCGATACCATCTGGTTCTGTAAGTACCCCGCGATAATTGAATAGGAAAGCCAGCCAGTTCTCTGTCGGCTTCTCGCGCGTGAACTTTATATGTTCAAATTGCCGATTCAGTAATTCGAAGCAGGTGTCCATCTCGGCCTGGGTGGAACATATAACAAAACAATCGTCGATGTACCGACAATAGAGAACTGGCCTACGTTCAAGCACAGGTTTTTCGACCTTCGACATGAACGCCACCGCAAGAGCTGGTGCTAACCTTTGCCCCATTGCTAGCCCCCTGACCTGTTTGTAAGTACTCTCCTGACCATCTGAAAATGTTGCATTTGAGACATTCATCCAGCAACATCATGACTTGCGAGATGGAAAGGCCGTACAGGTTCAGACTAGAATGGTGTTCGGTGAAAATCTCCAGGACTGCCTGCATT